CTTTCACACACGATTTTCCATTTTAACTAAATATAGGCAGACACGTTGTAATGCGAAGAAAGACAGGTTTCAAGGAATCATTTATATTCTTAAAGCTTGCTTCATCTTCTTGCGCAGCCATCATTTATAACTCTGTAGTTAATTGAAGGTAATCGCAGAAACCGTATGCTGCAATCACATTAAAAAAAAAAAAGTTCCACAAGGTACACGGGAATATCACGACTTCGAAGAACGTAATCCGATCAGTCGATATTTCACGATCGCCGTTCCCTCGCATATTCGCAGGGTACCGCTCGGTCCCTTCCCCCCTTCTCTTCTGTTCCTCCTCAACGATATTCTCCCCGATTTCAACAATAATCGCGCTTGCGCAACTCGGAGCCTCCTCGCCGCACGGTGCGGCGGCCCGCTCGTTTGATTTACGATAATTAAAGCTGACCTGACCTTTCGTCGCAGCGAGAGGAACGCGACTTTGGTCGGTCGAAGTACCGATGAGAGACTACGAGATATTAAAGAGACTCCCTCCCGCGTCCTCATTCTCGTTCTCGATCGTCTCTCGTTGAATGTTTTTTTTTTTGTTGCCTCTCTCCCCTCCTCGTAAGAACCGCTCTTTCCGACGGGACGAAGACCGTCTGGTGGAACCAACCGCGTAATTGCACGATCGAGTGAGCGCGCTTGCACCGGCCAACGCGGCTTTTGCATTTTTGCCCATGGCGGTTTCGCGAGACCAGATCTCGGCTTCCATCGGCGTCGCCTCACCGCGCGCACGCCAGGTTACGTTCCTTGATCAGCGGTTATATCGCGAACGGTAATCGCGATTTACTTATGATACTTATCAAAACGGGGTGGTTGATGTGGCGGGCCCGGCGTGAGTAGCGGGATCCTTTCGATGCATCGACTCGCTCTCGCCGCTTCTATTATCCTTCTCCCGACGTTGTAAGCACCGCGCTATGATCGAGGATAACGAATCTGATCGTGAAAGCGATGATATAACACCCGGCGATTTATAGCGCGATCATTTCGTGAGGTATGATTAGAAGCACCGCGTCTTTCTCTCTCTCTCTTTCTCTCTTTCTCTTTATCCTTTCCTTTCTTTGTTTCCCTCTTTATCTTTTTCTTTCTTTCTTCGTCGCGAGATCGCTGGTGCACGGATTTGTCATGCTTCGTGTAATTTACTGTACCGCGCGATTAAACGAGCTTCTCTTCTCTCAAAGTGACGGCGCGAGAATTCTTTCAGGAGATATCTTGATCCATTAGCGCGGCGGAACTTGTTGGAAGGGGAAGAGAAGAAAGAGGAAGAAGGAGGTTACTCTTATTGGAATCGGACATAAAAGCGTCGATCACAAAATCAATTCCGCCGTCGCGTTTCTTTCTCGCGCTTGCACAATTGCACGAGCTGTTCCTCTCACGCTTACTTATTTAAACCTCCCGGTATAAATCACACGAAGCAACTCCACAAACGCGCGCACGAATTAACGATCAATTTCTCCGCATAATCCCACGTCGCGGGATATAAATTTTCGGCTGGGTCGCACGCGCGACGCTATCGGTTTCATAAATTTAATACTCGCCGCGCGAACCGAAATGTGCAGGCTACGAAGAGAGCTTTTGGCATAAAGAGAGAGGAAGGTAGCGAGAAAGCCTCGGTTTTTGCGGCGATCTTTGCGGTGTTGCAGTTTGTAAATGCGCGTCGTAAAAAAATCTCGCCACCTCTCGCCGAATGCCCTTTTCGGCGCGCGAATTTCACGCGCCGTTCGTGAGATAACGAGCGCGGTTGAAAAATTGAATGTCGCCACCGCGCGTGCAAATGGTGCAACGTGGCGCTCGGGAAAACCGGGCGGCGGGTGCAGCGGTGTGCGACAATTGCCACCGCGGCGGCGGCGGCGGCGGCGGCGGCGGTGACCAAAACGTGAGAACGCGGAGTCGTTGGAGCAGCAAACCTCCTCTCCTCGCGCGGGCGGGTCGTTAATTATTAGCGCGGCTAATATTTTTCTCGCCGCGCGAACGCGGCTGCAGCAGCGCCAGCGCCAGTCAAGACAGCGAAATTATGACGCGATATCACGTCGCGATAAATCGTCGGGATAATTATTCACACAGGCGCGCGCGAGTGTGCGTGCATGCGTGCGTGCATATAATACGTCTCGCCCGGCGAGAGTTACACGTAGGAGAATGGTTGGCATGCGAGCGAACCGCTAGGCGCCGTTTGTTCGTTGTTTCCTGCCCGATGACGAGAGGGCGACGACGACGACGACGACGACGACGACGGCGCTGACAATGATTACTCGACCGAAGTAAAACCGGCGACGCATGTAGAAAAGATCGTGCCGTTTCTTCGAGACGCGTTACGAGGCGAGAGCGATAGGCGCCACAAGCGCGCCTAACTCCCGCTGGAATTATTACGAGGTCAGAGGCCGTAATTGTTATTTATCTGAAGGGCATGCGCGGGGCAAGCATATCGCCATTACGGCTTGTTTCCCGCGTAATGATGATAATAACGAGGGCGGCAATTATCTCCGAGTCATACACGCGATGACTTAGAACGATAGATCGCAATCTTTTTCATATGCTTAAGAGGCGCGTACGCGCGGTGTCGCGCCTGTGCCATTAACCGATATCGCGATATATTTTATCTAAACGAAACCTGTAATAAAGCTCATGATGCGATGAGTAGACGTGTATACGTCAGCGTTCACGCACATGATGTATATATGTATACAACATATATGCATACATATAGCGGTTGTGCGCGCGATTTCAACCGCGTTACTATGTCCGTCGTATGCGCCTCGCAAAAACGCAACATGTCTAGTGAAGATAATTGTTACTTATTCGCGGAGACGTGCGTGAGAAATGAAAGGCACACTTTGCGAGCACGTGTACTGACGTACATATGAGATATGATTTCTTGCGCCCGGTGACCGTGCGAAGAATACTGGCGAGACGCCTCTCGTTGTAGCTTCCATCGCGAGAGGAGGATGCGCGCCGGAATGGGAATTATTTATCTGCCCGGTGCGCCGCAAGAAAAATGGCCAGAGGAGGATGACGTGTATGTGTGTGTGTGTGTGTGTGTGTATGTGTAAATGCGAGTGCACGTTGTGTACGCGCGTTATGTTGCGATTTCTATTGTACAGCACGTAGTTGAGGGAATGGAAAACGAATGTTTTCAAGCCGGCGCCGTTTGTTCCTTCCATGTATGTGTGTGCGTGTGTACGCGCGCGTATGTAACGGCGTAGACTACGCGACGCGCGTTTCTTGTCGGATAATAAGGATCTGGACGGTCATCTCTCGCGCGCGCGTGTGCACGCACCAAGATTATATAGTTAGATCTTGAGGAGAGATGGTTAGCAAGTCATAATTGTATCCTCGTTTCGCGCTGGCGTTAAATCATACACATCCGTTTTTCTTTCGAGACTCTCCTGTTTCGTTTACTCGGGAAAAGCGATATTACACGTCACACACGAGCGAGCGTGACACTCAGGGAGGACGAGAAGAGGAGGAGGGGTAGGTAAACGACAGATGCGATTACTCGACGGGAAACGAAATTTGGACAATGCGCGAGGACACGTCGACGAGAAAAATATGAGAGATGAATTACTCTGGACGTGTTTGTTTTAGGACGCGACGACGACGACGTCGCGATACTTTTGTCCCGAGTTAACGGAGATTGATTGTCGCATGCGCCCTTTTTACGTTAACGCGCGCACGACGACGCGACGGCAGATACAATCCGTCGTTAACGCGAACGAGCGACGATGACGAGAAGATACGTCGGGAGCGCTAATTAGTTAGCCGCCGATGTGTCTCTACGGTAGAGGAGAAGATTGAAGAAAGAGAGAAGAACGGCACAGAGATTTCCACGTAGTCCACGAGGTCGGTTCAAAAGTAGCTTCGGGGAAGCGTAATCCATCATCGAAAACGGGCTGGTGTAATGTAACCGGCCGGTTATACCAACGACTAATCAGTCAGGGTGCTCTCGCCGTATAATTAGCAGTCTCTCGGTCTCTTTTTCTCGCGATTGTACGTGTACTCCTAGCGTATTCGTAGCGTTCCACTTGTATACAACCCCCTGTAGCCGCGATATTCCTGTGGCTCATAAAAGGCACACGCCTCTGTCTCGCTTTTCCGTTCGCGATCGTTAGCGAAACACCCGAGTCACGGTGTGTTACGTCTGGTCTGAGTATTGCAATTCGCAGCGTTGACGGATGATGTTTTCAAGTAGCGTGTCGGTTACTATTTCATTGTAAGTGCGGGTATCGTGTACGATATCGATTAGGAAAAATACCGGTTTTATAGCTCAAATCATAGATAATCTCGGTTTCAATATGAATTATCTCTGACTTAGACTCTAGACGGAAACCGTGTAAAAGCTTGTGCCGGCAGATATTTGTTTTCCACTTAAAGATCCTCGTTTTTTTTTCAAAATGTTGCATTGTAATCTCCATATATTTTTCTCAAATGGACTATTAGTTTTTGTGTGTAAATTAGATTGGATTTTAGATAAATTTATAATATAACTAGAAAAAGTAAAAAACTGTTCGCACAAGCTGTTTATCACCGCGCATCGGTTTAGTTGCGAGTATCGACACGCGAAACAAGCGGAAATATCTCGACGTCAGCAAACAAATGAGAACCCCGGGAAAATTAATGCGATCGGGTGATCGTTCCATCAACGACATAACGACACGGCGTAATTTACAGCTTAACAGTAATTCCTCTCGCGCGAACGGCTTGCGTCCGGCCGAGGAACTTCTATAAAGCAATACTCAGACGCTGTGTTTGGCGCGAGTATCTCGTGCAAGGATGCTCCGACCGCGCGCTCTTCAGATGCACGGGGATGTGCGCCGTTGAGAGGTCATTATAGGCTTGGCACGAGTTAAATGGCGAACTTAACGATCTTCTCTACGAGATCTCCTCTTCCTCGAGCGTCTTCGCCAAGCCGCCCGAGGGCTTTACGACGGAACAGCGACCAAGTTCCCCCCCAACTCTCCGATGGTTTTGCTTACCTTCGTGAGATGAGTAGGGATGAGTGGGACGCACCACACCAGGCAGAAGCACGCAGAACAATAGGAACAGCGAGCAAGATTTCGGCCTCATCGCGGATCACCTCGGTCCAGTCATTCGTTCTTCATGTCTCGTAACCCGGTGGTTGTTAAAGGATCCACGAACGATCCGAATTACACGTAAATACCGAAACGCGTCACTCGCGACACGACCACTGGCCACTCGTTGTCGGTTTGATACGAGTCCGCACCTGCAACAGAAATGAAGAACAAAACGCTTGAATTTTAACTGTAATTAGTGTTCAAAATTATTTAATTAAAACGTTACGTTAAATTACACACACATGATTTACACATTTTAATTAACTGCGGTTTTACAGTTAGAAGAAGATTTAATTTTCCGCGAGCGCGAAATGTGCATAATCGCGCGTATCGTAAATATTCGTAACGAAGATATAAAAAGAGTGTAAATGAAATGCTACTTTCAAGAAACACGATAAGGCAACCTACTTCGCTCTCTTATGCGTGATGTATGGATGGTTAATTTTTGCGCAAAATAAAAATTCTCTCTTCACACGCAACCGAGCGAAGACGTATCGAAGTGAAACGAGTTTAAACCGTCGGTCAGGTCGCCGCCGCAGCGTTGTTTCTACCGGAAAGCGTAAAAGACGGTTAGGAAAGTCGAGAGTGCCACTTACGACGTGGCTGGCAGCCCTTGCCATTTAAATATTCCAACGGCGGCAGACACTTTCCCGCACGCGAAATTTCCTCGCGGCGCCTTCATTTCCAGTCGCCGCGCTACCGTGAAAGGAACGTAAGGAAAGCCAAAGGCCGAGGGAGAGGGCGTAATTTTCCCCCGTGGTTCGACACGGCTCTCCCTCTCGAATGCGAAACTGCTGTTTCTTCAAGAAGGGAGGATACCGGTCGATAACCGTCGGAATTAATTATTAAGCGCGATTCGTCTACTCGAAATATGGTTTCTCAGGATTATTCGATGTATGTGTGTACCGCCGAATTCGAGCCTTAAACAACTTGAAGCGCGCGCGTCAACTTTGACGTAATGAGTTTCGTAGAGTTTCGACCTCGAAATGTATCGTCCGTGGATCGCTATAATGAAGTTTTCGCAACATACTTCATCGCGCATTAATCTACCTTACCACGTAAAAAATATCGCTGTCCGCGAGGACATTAAACTCCGAGCGTTGCGCGAGAGTTACTCCTGCTTATCGATCGATGTTTTAAACTCTCTCCCCGACGAGATGATTAAAATTCACGCGATGTGTGCATATCATAGAACAAAATTCGCGCAGAAACATATGATCGTGAACACGCTTAGCGTGCATATATGCAAAGCTTGTTAGCATATATCAGGTTGTTATACGATCTCGCTGAAACGCGGCTAAGGGATCGTTTATCAATGTCGTTCGTTTCGAGATCTTAAGCTAAATGTTCGATTACATTCATAAGTGCTGTTGTGCAGAAGATCTCTCGTGAGCAAACGCAGCGGAATTATGATAGAATAATGGAACATGACAAGTTTTGTAAAAAAAAAAAAAAAAAAAAACAACAATAATGATAATAAACCTCTTTTCCGTGTTCACAATACATGCTTGTTTTATTGTGGGAGCAATAACGATAAGAGAAATACAAACTGAAAGTCAGTCAAAGTAATACTGTGTGTAAATAATTAAGGTGATCGGACTGTGATAGTGTATTCTTGATATGTAAGCAAGAAAAAACTATTGTAACTCAAGATTACATCCGATCGATATTACCTTTTGTGTTTGTTATATTTGTGTTATTATATTTGCGTATTATAATTATCAAATAATAATATCTGAATATTGCAGCTATTATGTAATGTATTATGTAATTTTTCGGAATTGTTCCCAATCGAAGTTTTTCGTCTTCTCTTTGTTATCGCGCACAATGGAAACAATATTGAAAAGCGAAATTATTATTTTTAATTATTATTATTATTATTATTATTATTTAATGCAAAATCGATTTCGAAAAATTACATGACCAATACAGCTAACCCCGAGGGAATCAATAAAACCGTGCAAACACAGCTGTGAATGGGACGAGTACGCAGGTCGCAAATGCTCTCGGGGATTCATGACGCGGAATAATCCAAACGAAGACCTATGCAACGAGCGTATTATGGCTACGTATCGCGGAGCTCGACACAGATTTCCCATCTCGAGCTCGTCCTAATCCTCCGGGACGGAGGACTCAATTTATAAACGTGCTCTCGACGCATTATCCATTCAAAGATTTAAAACACTCGAAGGAGAGAGTTGCGACATGCAGCCACATGGTATTTCACACTGCAGTTGGCACGAATTCGCTTGTTCTGGACTCCATTTGGTTGGAAAAGCCGACCAGAAAGGCCGACCTTTTCATTGAACTTATTCGAATAAACTGCAACTGCTTTGTGGCGCGATACGGGCGCATTTAAAGCGGGTGAAGATGATGCTTGTTTTTTTTTCTTCGTGGCAACCATCTAGAAAGGCGAGCGCGCGAGACGAGAGCGGATTAAGTCTCCCGATGTGATGCATCTCGAGTATCGCATGACAACAGGTAGGACGACTACCAGACTGGACCCTAGTCAAAAGGATTCAGCTACCGGTTCTCTTGATGCGGTCGTCTTTCTCACAATTCACGACGGTCAAGATGTACACATATTGTACACACATATATGTATGTATATGTGTGTATAATATAACACACGGTCCGCGAGAGTATATATCTCCGAGAAATTCTCGATGGATGCGAGCGACGTTTTATGTTTTGAGAAAAAAAGTTAGGTCAGATGGGTGAATGCGTTCATAAATTTCACTTAGAAGAGGCAAGTCGCTCGGTAGTCCAATATTCGCTGGCAATAAACGGGGGATAATCTTACCGGATTAAAAAGGTCCGGACATAAATTCCAACGTCTTAATTCACGATAACTAGACTTCACGCGGATCTCGGTCTTTGTAGTTTTTTTTTTTTTTTGCTTTGAGGTTGCATTCCGCGCACGTATATCCCGTCAATGCAACGTAATTTCTCGCACTTAGTTTCCGCGCGGAACAACGCGCGCAGTACATCACGACGTGCGAAGCTAATCCGCGAAAACCGCATGAACATTCCTCAAAGATGTACCGACAACCGCAAGGGATCCCACCTCCCTCTCTCTTTGGAACACGCGTCAAGTTCCAGGTACCTTATCCCAGAACTCCGCCCCGAAGGCCGACTGTTCCTTCTTTGGCTCGTTTCTCTCGATTTTTCGTTCGTCCTTTTCTCTCTCTCTCTCTCTCTCTCTCTCTCTCTCTCTTCGTCTCACTCGCGCGTGCTCCTCCGTAACGTAATCCGAGAAGATTACGGAGCGAAATAAACATGTCAACCTCCCCCGCGGCGCGGTGGCCGCAGGGATGTGGGCTCGTGTGTGCAGCGTCTTTATAGACCGCACGTAGAGGATATCGTCTTTCTTTCCCTCCGCCGGTCCCTGCGCCTCGTGCTTACATACGTCGTCCTCCCTTTGCGACGTAGATTCCTCAGATACCGGTCCTCGTTCTCTCTCTTGTCGGCCGTTGCTTAGCCATCGGGCAGATGCGTCTAGTCCGGTTCACACGAACTCGATCGGTCACGCGTCTTATCTGCTCACAATCTGGGATCCTCCTCAATCAAGGATAGGTCATCGCGAGTTTGTTTTTTTTTGTTTTTTTTTATTTCCATCCGATCGATCCTATCGGCTCCGAATGTTTCTTTTTTCTTCCACGTAGGATACACGTATCGTTTCCCGCGATGAGAGGGAGGAGGGAACAAAGTCGACAAACCGTGGCCTGACTCACTCCCTGGAAACCCGCGACTTCACGGAACGTGTACAAATTCGTGACTACCTGCGGCAAGAGGATTCGATTTATGCGCCTCTTTGAAGCGCAACGTGTTTCAGCGGGTTTTAAAAGCGGCTTGGTATTGTGTCGGGAAAGATGTTTGCAGGTGTTCGAAAACGTGCTCGATGTAGTTATCGATTTGTAGTAGTTATTAATGACCTATAACGGGACGGATTCTCTATTTCCGCGGTTTACACTGGACAAATAAACCGTTTCGTGTTTTTTTTTTTTTTTTTTTTTGTTCTGTTTTGTTTTTGCTTTGTGCAATATCAGTATTCCGCTGACGCAGGTACCGCTGACCTCTTCGTTTTTTAGCGATACGCTATCGGATCACGTAAGAAAACTATTTCTCCGCGCTTGTACACACGGTATTTCAATCGTAATGCACGGTGAGACCTTTTACTCAAGAGATCACGGTGCACAACATAAATTACTTGTTCGTGAGTATCAAGGATACCATCTCGCGCCCGAGACGTCGTTTCCCCGCGTGGCAAAGAGTAAAACTCTCCGCGGCGCGTGCTTTGGCCGCCAGAGTATAAAGTAAGCGTAATAACTCGGGGGAGATCAAAGGGATTGCTCTCGCGGGAAGGGTTTTAAAAGAGTGCAACCCGTAAAATCAAGCGTCGCGGGTATATCCACTGTACTCCCGCGACTACTTCTCGCGCGAGGCGGAAGCGGAAATCGACGGAAGCGAGAGAGAGCCAACGATGTCACGACTCCGGGGCAGCTCGGGGCACAAAAGAATCTTTACAACTTCCAGCACACGGCTCGGATCAAAGGATCCGAGCGTGGCTAAGGAGTTTCCTCCGATCCCGCTATGGTAGGTAAGTCTGTGGCTTCTTTTAAGGGCATTTTGAAAATCAGACATCGCCGGCGTGACGTTGCCGCGTTTGCGGAACGAAAGAGAGGAGACTCCGGCGTCTCGCCACGTCAGCGCTCCTACTCGCTCGGCCAAACACCGAAATACACCTTCTCTTTGCTCTTTGATCGTTTCATCGCCCGCGCACACAGCGCGCGGCTACGGCTCTTTTGCGCGCAGTCATCTCGCAAACAGGAACGCCACGAGAAGGGTAGAAACCGGCTGAAAATACACCGTGGAGACGATCGTGCGCACCCACATGCACGTCGGCGATATCAACGCGGTAACGCACGTTTTCCCCGCGTTCCTCTCCCTGGTAGTGTAGGATCAAACGTTCCACGAAGCTGGCTTTTGGTCGGCGAGGCGAACGCCGCGCCTGGAAGTTATTTGACGTTTTTGCATGAATATAAAGTACAATGCGACTACGACCGCCCCGGGCGGAATCTCCGGCGATGGAGCTATGCACACGATACGACGTAGCCGGGAGATATGAGAAAACGGGGACGACGCGCCAGGCTCTCGTCGTCGACCGCGCGCATATATATCGGCGGAACGTAAACGAGAAGCTCTCTCGCGCGTTCGCTCCGAGCGTACAAGATTTTCCAGGCGCCTTCGGCTGGTGTGGCGTTACGACGTGTAAAGAACGATGGGGCCTCTTGGCCCGTAAAATTTTTCGATTTTATCTGCGCCGATAAGAAATTCCGCGTTGTCGTAAAAGCTAGTGGGTAGTGTCGTTTCCGACGCGGGGTTGTTTACGGCGGTTGTTTCGTGCCGCGCGTGACTTTTTCGCCGTCTCCCCCGTGAAAAACTTCCGTGGCAAAGCAATCGGCAGAAAAACCCGACGCGCTTACAGTCTAAAAACGTTCCGAGTTATCAAAATTTCACTGACGTCGTGGTTGTCGTTAAAATGAATTCTCTTGCTTCAGCATTTTTATTTCGGTGTCATTTTATTTCGTGAGATAAAAAATCGTTTCGCCGTCACGAAATCAGTTAAATGAAACGAAATATATATCGTTCGTTTCTTTATTATCTTTATCTTACATCCCAGTTCGGACGTTTTACATTAACTCTTTAGAGATCATCATCGTTCGTCGTCGTTATCGATCAATCAAACGACTCACAGAGTACTTAACATCTGCCTGTCCGTGCGTTCAATCGGCATCTTCGCCGTGTTTCGATTTGTATCGGGTCGTGTTCCCCGACCAGATTACGTTGTGCCGAACCGTTCGGTCCTTCAAAGATCGATCGTTCGATCGATCGGCCGACGCGATCTGCTCGAAGACACGGCCGTTTCGCCACCGCAGAAATTCATCGACGCGTGAATATAATTTTTCGCGCGCGCGCGCGCGCGAGCACATTGGAGCTTCTCTTCTCCGGGCTTCTTTTGTGCGCGTCTTTCGGAGCAGGTAGATGGGTACTTCATGTTCTCACGAAGGCTCCAAATGGAGTCGACCGCTGCAGATGGGGCCCCTACGCGTGCCAGGTGGGCCTCTTATTCGACGACGCTCAGGGTTCCCCCGAGTCAATGCAACAACGGTGTTTCCTGCAAGCCGATCGAAACCGCGATACAAGAGCACACTGCGTGGCGGCCCGGGCGGCTTCGTCGATGCTGACGGCGCGATAAGGTGAAACCATACCGAGTTTTTAATGGCCAAAGCACGGAAAGCGCGGGGATCCGTACGGGAGACTGAGCGGTCGCTGGCCGTGCCTCACGCACTCGCAGCACGTAGAGAGGCACGTACGTAGGAGACACTTCCTGTCTTCTTCGTCTTGTCGCGCGGTACACTCCTCGATCGAGCACGTATGACGTATCGTTGTCGTACGAGGAGAAACGGAAGTTGGAAAACGTCGCGCGTCGGGGGTGAGAAGCGGCACTCGAACGTCGAGAAGACGCCGGCCGGGCGGCGGCGACGCGAAATGATAGACGTCGGCGTAAAATCGTTCGGCCTCTGTCACGAACGTGAGCAATGCACACGAATGTGTACCCTTCTGCGAATAATATCGCGTGTGAATGGCGTATTAAACTACCACGGAGAGAGAGAGAGAGGGAGAGAGGAAGAGAAAGATAAAGAAAGAGAAAGAATATCGGGCCTCGGCTTCCGCACGTGAAGGATCTCGTGAAAATTCGAGAGTACAAGTTTCGCGTAATAGTTTTACTCCAGAATATCCCGACGTGATATTTTTATTCATGACGAACAAAGTGGAGAGGGAGATGGGAAATTTCAACGAACGTATTACGCGGCACAGCAATAAAACCGAAATTGCACGCCCAAAGGAGGCAAGAAAAGCAATATCAACAGTTTGCGTATCAGGGCGAATTGATAGAGGTACAAAATTATGTACCGCTAAATAAATCATTGCTAAAAATAATAATTTAAGTTTACTCAGTTGTTATTTTAATAATAATTAAATTTTGAGAAAGCTAGTATTTTGATAAGAATAGGTATTAAATCTAAACAATTTTATTTGATAAACGTACATATTTTACACGGCGTTTATTCGATCGACGTTTATTCCAAAGAGATTTGTCAACTTTTTTCTCTACAAATACTGATAAAATAATTAATGAATCGAGAAACTTATTTGAGCAAACAACTTGCGACGGTCGACAATATATTATCAGTCAAATAATCATCATTTTAAAAAAACATCTTGTTATTTTAACTCTTATCTGCGCTGTACCTAAGTACAGACTTGAGTCACAAAACAAATATTTCATATTTATGTAACAATTAACCGCGAATTAAAAAAATACAATTTTTTGTTGACATTGCAGTATTTTTTGAAGGAGCGCTCTTTTAATTAAACGCCTTTATTATTATATATTACTGAAAATTCAAACATATCTCTTGTAAAAACCGCCTCGTACATATAATTATTCTTATACTGTTAGATAGAGAAAGAGCGGAAGTTAGAAGAGCTCACACGGAACCGACACGAACGGGGCGGTTGGGGCTGAGGGACGAACGGTCGGTGACGAGAATATTCAAAGAAGCGCGCGCGTGTCACGCTTGGTGTATTTACAGAAAGCGACTAACGCAGTAAAAGCAGAAATAAAGGGATCCATTGGCATAACAGCGCCTCTCGGCTCCGCTTCATTATATTTTCCTTTTCTATACACGACTCGGCGTTGTAACGATCATTACGCGTTTGTGTGCGAACATCAGGTAGTCGTTAATAATGTCCCCGACCGAGTCGAGTGGAGATCGTTTCTTTTCAAGAAACCGAGAACCACCGACGCAGTCGAAATATTTAGTCAGCCGCTGGATGTGTTCTCTATAATCGTTCTGAAGCCGCTCAATCTCTTCTCTATCGCAAAGTTATTTATAACGATGGGATCATAAGTCAGAACCAGATTACTTCAGATTGTATTTTTCAATCGAGTCGATTAATCTTAATCGCTGCAAGTAAACTTTTTTGCGCTGTTATAAAATTTAAATACGCGAAAAAACATTCTGTACGCATTTGCTTAAAATTTTTTCGATACGCGTTATCGCACAATTTATGAGCGATATAATTAGTTAACATTCCGCCGTCAGACGGTGCGCAAAAATATTTCAGCGGATATGACATCCACGAAGTGGAACAAAGAGCAATCATTATTGATATGGTGCCAGTGATATGATTAATATATTCTGCCGCCGCTGTTTAAAGAGATAGCGCGGTATTATTAATTAACGACATTCAGTGAACGAGTGCGCTTGTATCGTGCATTTTCTATCCCGAGCCATTTACTCGGGCCACAAAGACGCGATCGTGAGGCCATGAGCGTCACGACTAACGATTCGCAGTCAATAAATGCCGCAAATAGTTGGCGGCGTAACGTTCGCGATTTATTGGAGATAATGTCGCTCTTTCAGCGTTATTTTCCTCGTTACAAACGCGTAAATGTGTACACTCGGCGTACGATACGCGAGATATTGCTGAAGCGGTTGTAATTGAATCGATCGTTCTGCAAATCACCGGCAACGATCTAGCCAAACGCAACGACATAATAGTGACGTCTTATCGACAATCTACGTTGCATATGCGCATTGTACTCGGCGGCGCGCCACCGAGTACCTCCTATAGGGACCTTATGAAAAACACCCCTTGGCGTGTACATATTTTGTGTATTTACGAGTGGATGTAGATAGGAAACGGCGAGTGCAATTTTACAGCAAAAGATGCGGGCGCATAATCCGCCGCCTAAATCGCCAGCAACCTACTGCTAAATCATAAAAGATCGTATACATTTCTATAATTCTGGTAAGTGCTCCCGAGCACTTGCAAATCTCGATTCGAAGCAACACACACACACATACACACACATACTTTACGATTATGCGCGTTCGCGTACGATTTTCGAGCTTTAGCGATCATTCGGGAGCCGTTTATCGATGTGTTCAACCGCACCGCGGCGGTTAGATTTCGCAAGCGCGATCCATTTTGTATGATAAAGTAATATCGCGCGTATTACCTCATTCCCAATAAAACAGGAAATAGATTTACGATGAACCGTAATCTGTTTTAAAGTGCTCCGCATATTTTTTTCTTCTCAGTAAAAATCTCTCAACCGCCCGGCGGTATAAAGGAAGGAATATAAACATAGCTTTGATGAAGCAACAAGTAATAGCGTATTCCGCGAGTTAATGCCGCGTTCGTGTAATTTTTCCAACGACTTCATTTATTTAATGCGCAGACCTGTAATACAGCGTACTTAAAGCCCGCCGGTGCAACGGCCGCTGTACATGTATATACATATATATATATATATATATATACATATATATAACGCGGCTGAAGATTATAGTCGTTTCGCGCAAATCCGGTAGTTGATATCGAAAAGCGATCACTCGGAGTCGCGCTTCGGTAATAGCAACCGAATATTTTCGAAGCAGCTCGAAACCGCTGCGAGGATGCGCGGTTTCGAGCCGGACGAAAGTTTACGACACGCCGCGAGTTTTTAATAGGCTCCCGGGAAACTTTTCGACCGCGCGTGGAAGCAAGCCGGGAATGCAGAGGTTAAATGTTAACGTCGATCTTCCGTCGACTCAGCCCCTTGCGCAGCAAAGCTTTTCAATGTGTGCGGCAACTGGAATTAATCAGGCATATATTCAGGCGTGATGACTCGGGAGCGTACATAATGCATTTGTATTGATTAGTCACTGATCAAAAGCTCACGATCAAGAACATTCAACGAACATTTTAAATTGACATTGATCTTTAATTCGGTTGTTTGTTTTCTTTTTTCTCGCTTTCTTACAGATTTCTCCGATTTTATTTCGCGGTTTCATGAAAATTATATTTGTATCAATGATGATTTGTATCAATGATGACACATCTATCATCTACGAACATTATCTTACAAGAGTGATTTTATGTGTCACGTTTCCGCTCGTCTCGGATAAGAGCGCTAGTTTCCATACGCTATCAGAAATTTCCTGAACCGAAGCGAAAAGGAAAAATTCGCTTATACGCACGACGACGCGTTATGCAACTAATGCCGGATATCACTTACTCGTGCAACCAATCAGCGTGGCGTGGTTATCCATAAACCGGCTGGCACTTTAACCCCACTGCACTGACACTGGTGTTATCATCGTTGCAAGTTCGTTACACCGCGCGCCGTAACGTCATTCTTCACTTCGGAGCGCCACGATCATTGAATTACACGTTCACCGATTCGGCAAAAGGAACTGTGTCACATCGATCTCGCTCACCCGAAACCCTCTTGATTCGATACCCCTAAAGCAGCCAATCCCGGGCACGCGAAAAGAACACACTAAAATTTCTCTCTCTTTCTCCGTTTGTACGGGGGGGAAAAAAAAAACTATCCAAACGGTTGGAAAAATCGGAGTACGAACAATTCAAATCTGTCCCTTTCGCAGGTACAAACTGTGAGAAATGTCGTGTGCTTCACCCCTCGTGTACGTTTCACGAGAGCGGGTACGTGCACGCGCACGTCCCAATGTAACGAGGGGTTACGCGCGTTTCGAGATTAGCCGTTAAGAGCGGATAAACACCCAGAGCCCCCAGCACGCGCGGCTCATGTCGGCCAACTGACTCGTAGCGCGGAAACGTCGGGGCCCTTCGCCTCTTGGGCGCCGGTGCTGGGTGAGCGTGGTAGCGATGGTGGTGGAGGTTGCTGACGGTGGTGGAGGTATCACCGATGGAGGAGTGGTGGTGGTGGTGAACGGCGATGGTGGTGGCGGCAGCGGCGGCGTTCGAAGGCGAAGTCTTTGGTAGTGTAGGTGCTCGTTGGAGGCGGAGAGGCGGCTTAAGAGTAGAAGAGCTGGTGGGAGTCGGTGAATGCTCTGCAGTATGCACTCCGCTGTCGTTGCCGCACAGACAGATGCTGCGGAGTGCCGTTCGGACTGCCACACGAGACAGAGTGTACACCTCCGTGTACAGAGAGATGGCCACGGACTTTGTTAAATATTCATCCTATCCGGTTGTCGTGGTATATCGTACACACATACACACGAACCACATGCCCTTGCGGTAGGAATGTTTGTCCAAGCTGCTTGTTTCCCGATTACTCGAGGGACTGAGCGGGCAAATTTTGGAGCATTCGATGGTTACGCGCACTTATCAAAGATGTATGAGATAGCGGATACCTGATATTATGAAGATATGTATTTTGCAGCATTTCAGACCTGTAAATAGTATTTTGTGAGCGAGCAAAACTGCCGACTTCAAAATTCAATGTCGTACGTGAGGCAGGGGAAAAACGATTCTCGTGTGTTTACATCCAGGCGCAAAGGAAGGCTTTCGAAGGAAAGGGCAACATTCGGGAAACCTATTCGGGAGAGCTATTCTTCTCCCTTTGACAGCGAGCAACGAAATTCAGGTTGAGCGTGCGATATCCGCATTTTGGCCGGTGCATAAATTTGTTTTTTCTCCAAATAAATACTCCGCGACGCATTTATTTACGGTATTTCTTGCTCATCCTTCGCCCTTCTTTCCCGTTCGCGGCGATCGTCCTTTTCCTGCTCGCCAACGCGACACGACCGTACTCTTGTCGCACCGTTCGGTAAATAAATATTGACCGTCGAGGCGGGCATCGCAAACAAATCCATTAATAACACAAATTTAACCTCGTCGCGGAGGTGTATGCGTGTATACTTGTGGAATCAGGGGCGCGAGTACACGCGCGCGCGTTCAGTTTCACGTGTGGACCAATCTGACAGTCCCGCCGCGTCTAACTCGACGTTGTCGGTGTCAATTTATGTCTGCGGGTGGATTCGACGTTACGGTAGAACAATTTAATAACATTCATTTCCATATACATACATGTACATATACATATGTACGTACATATACATCATTCTTCCATCCCGGCTTTACTCGTTCCTAACCTTCCCCTAACCGGCGATCGTACAGCTCAGCGGAAAGATAGAGAGACAGAATCGCGACTCGGGAGAGTGAAAGAGAGACGGAGCAATCAGTGTTAACCACAGGAGAGTTGCGGCAAGCGAATTCGCGCAAATTCGCGAGACTGTAACCAAATAATCCTCGACGTTTAATATCCAACTTTGCGGTGTATCTCGTTAACGCGCGTTGCAAATGCAAACATGTAAGTTTCATCGATATATTTCGATACACACACACGGATCGAAGGAAAACGCACGCAAAGGGATGATGAGTTTCAAACAATTGATTTTCACTAAATTTTCTTTAATAACTTTTAAATATCCGTCATTATAAAATATATATTTCTATATTCGCACTTAAACTTATTTAATTTATCAACAGAATAGTAAAATATATTTTAGGATATTGTATTAATATTTTCGAATCCTTTTTCTCTTTCTGAGAATGTTCTTTTGTTCGAATATATATATATTATTGTCTTAGGTTCTATATTGAATGTTTTTCAAACGTGCAGGTGTATATAGAAACTCGAGACGTTTTCTTCTGCTACAGAAGAACTCGCATATATGAGAGAAAACTCACCGATATTTCAAGAGCTAGAGGTAAAAAATTGTATATTAAAAATAGATCGTGTGAATACGAGCGCGCGTGCCAAGTGCGCGTTGCGGCAACTATAGTACATATACAAGGTGAATATCCTTGAAGTAACGCAGCTATTAGAAATTTTTTTTATCGTTGACTTGTTGTAACTTTGTGTTAGATATTTTCGATAAAATATTCATTCAACGGAGTTGAACAAAACACTTTCTATTCACTTTTCTGTACATGTCTTTGTACCGAGACTCTGTAATAAAAATCTATTTATGTATCTCGTACTTTAGTTATGCATTTGTAATTACCGGGAACTTTATATCCTATATTATGACAACACCGTAACACAATGCTTATTTTTCACACTCGTATTCTTCTGTCATACGACTTCTAATCGATAAATGAGTTTTCTCCTAGGTAGACAATAATACAACGAGCAAGAGAGATGAAAAATTGCATCCTTTCAATCGATTCCCCCCTTCCCCCTATTTTATACTCTACGTGGAGTCTCGAATGGAGAAGATGATCGCCTCGTAATCCTATATAAACACGGTTATTTTTATCCCATTACGGGGCGGTTCTAGTAACAGCTCGTGTACCTTCGAGTCTGCATAATGCCGCATTCGTTGTGCACGCAGCTTTCAAGACTGCCGACGACCGACCGGGGATGACCGCGGGATCCAGAGGGGTGCACCTAGTGCCACACCCCCTCACGTCTGCCGCCACGAAGCTGCTTAACAGCGGGGGGGACGAATGCGCCCGGTTTATGATATACAGACCTAAATAGTCGTCGGGTCCTCCGAGGGTCCTGTGTTCCATTGAATCCTACGCCTTCGTCTTCGAAATGGGTCGTCACAACGTCCCTCGGAAAAAAACATAACAAATGATGATTCACGATGAAGTCATAAAATACCTAAGTACACAACCGATACCTAATAGCTTTTATTATTGAAAAATCGACAACTTGTTTTTATGTACACATATAGTAAAAAATACTTGTGATTGATTGTTGTACACTTTTGTTTATTTTGTTTTTTTTCTGAGAAACAGTTATTTTATGTGCGAAAACATTTTATGTACGTATGTAATAACGCGTAATGATGTGCGCCTATTTTCTAACACAGCGATCGTTCACGATGTTCTGTGTCATTATTTCGTAATGATCTCGACTGAAAAACGGGTGGCATGGGATTGCAGTAACATGTGTCACGCACTCGTTCTGAAAAGTTTCGGTTGCACGTGACGCCCACCAATCGTAACGTTTCTCATTCCAAAGCCTCTTTCTGTCTCGTTAATGGCGTACCCGGCACTCCATATCGCTAAAGTAAGTATCGCCTGTTCTCCGACAAAGGAAGTCGGCCCTTATCAGCCGGAAACTGAAAAGTTTTTCTTGCATTTGTCACGAAGAGATCGAGATACGTATAACAGATCTCTTCTTCATGTGAAATTCATCCAGAAACACCTTGTCGAAGGTTCGTTTGAAGCAAGCAAACGTGAAATATTTTTTCACAGACTCTCGTATACGCTCTCGTGGGTTGCTTTTCTTAAGAGGAAACTCTTGTAAGGTCGTTTCGTTTCGCCATGAGGTCAGCGGAGCTCGAGGACTTCCCTCACTACGCGGCGATATCTCCCCTTCAGAAAAACCTAACAGAAATTCTATGGTTGAATCGGATCGAGAGCGAGAGAGGCAATTCAGTTTACGCAAACAGAAAAACTCGGTATTTTCTTATATAATTATATATACATATGTAGAAATATTATATTACAAATAAGAACAAGGAAAATTATTAAGAAATATCAAGGTAACACAAAATTCCATTCAAAATTGCTCTTTTTTGCGAATTTGCGTTTCTTAAAAATAAATACAGTATAAATTATCTTTTGTGTACTGCTTATCATATTTTAAACTAAAATGTAGAATTTCTTTGTAAAGATTTCTTTCTCTAAAGAGATCTTTATAAAGATGTTTTAATATAAATGTTCTTTTTGATAAAAGTCTGAATACAATAAGTTGCACCAATTTTATCACCGAAAAAATTGTATTCTTGTTTTGAGGAGAGATATCCCACTTACTTTAAGTATATTTTATACTAAAATAGGCGCCAAGAAGAGTTTCTTATTTTAAGAGGAAAATCCTCTAAATAGTAATATTGATAAGAATATATACTGATTAGAATAGAAAAAGCCTCTATAAAAAAACATATATATCTCACTATCGAAAAAGACTATATTCTTAAATTAAGAATATATTTTTAAATAAAGAATATATTCTTAATTTCAGAAGAATATTATCTAAAATCTTTAAGAAGATTTTGTAAGTATAAAATCTTCTACTTACAAGAATAAAAATTTTCCGGTGTAGATAAAAAAAATGAAAGAAAAAAATAAGTTAGATATGTGCCGTATCTTATCGCATTGATAAGTTAGAGTAAAAAACTCATTAGAAAGCGACATCCAGGGTTTTTTTTGCGTCTGTCAGCGTGTTCATTAATTTTCAAGAGAAAAATTGACGTAAGCCATCTAGAATTACGAGACTGGAGTGTCTTCGAAGACCCCATGAGTGAAATTCGAGCTTGTACCATTTCTCGAAAAAAAGGGACCAACGCAGAAGCGAGAGCGCGAGGGAGAAACTGAGAAAAAGAGACGGAGAGCAAGATGAAAAAGGTTTGCTCAACCTTACCAAGGTGTTTCGAAGGTTTCACGAAGATATCGGACAGGTCAAAGACAGAAGACGAATAGCGCCCTGTTCAACCGATGCATTCAAAATATTCGAGAATGGATTCTGACCGCACGAATACAGAGAAAAAGGTTTCGAAGATTGAGTCCTTTATCTCGAACATAGGATCTCATCGTCCTTTGGAGAGAGCCTTTCTAAAACAAATACAACATCCAATTCAGTCGACGGGAGTGCTCAAACAGATAGGCATACCTGTAGTGCATCCGAACCGGTATCCTAGGAATGTTTTTTGTTACTCGTCTCTGATAGCATTTTAATGGAATCGATAAGTTGTGCGACAAATTTGTGATATCCCACGTATATAAAACTAGCTTCGGTCGTAAATTTGATTCGTTCTCGACTCGCGAGTAAGTGGGATCCGTTCGATCTTTCAAA